TGATTATATTATTGTATGGAATGTTACTTGCTATAAAAATACTTGGAGGAAACTTAAATGCATGATGCTTAGTCAAAGGAGCCAGTTTGAGAAGGACACACACTGTATGAGTCCAACCCTATGATATTCTGGAAAAGGCAAAACTGTGGAGACAGTACAAACGTCAGTGGCTGTCAGGAACTGGGGGCAGGGAGGGGTGAGTGAACAGGTATTTTTAGGGTGCTGAAATTTCCGTATGATGCTGTGACGGTAGCTACAGACCATTACACATTTGTCACACCCACCAAACTATACAATACCGAGTAAACCCTAACCTGCACTGCGGGATGTAGTCAGTAATGTTATAATGTATCAATGTCGGCTCATCAATTGTGACAGGTGTACCACACGAATGCAGAGTGTTGATACCAGAGGGCGCTATGGGGGCACGTGGGACCTGTACTCCACTCCTCCATTTTTCTGGAAGCCTAAAACAGCTCTCAAAAATATCTACTAATTTAAAATATTATAGTATGTCAGTAAGATGAAATCAGCAGCCATCAAAAATGGACTTTTTCTGGGGCAGTCGGTTAGCTCAGTTGGTTAGAGCACAGGCTCATAACACCAAGGTTTCCGGTTCGATTCCCACATGGGCCACTGAGATGCACCCTCCGCAATTAAATTTAAATAACTACTTGACTTGGAGCTGATGGGTCCTGGAAAAACACACTGTTCCCCAATTAAAAAAAAAAAAGAACTTTTTCCTATAAAACCTTCTTCATATACTGTTACTGAGGGCTGGAAGGAGAAACAGGTTACAAAACAGTATATAAACAAAACAAAAGGTGAATATAAAGCTACGCATGTCTAAACAACAAAACGTTCACATGTCATCCCTGGGTAACGGGATCACTGGTCACTATCGCGTGTTTTTTGCCTGGATATATTTTCTCATCTCCCTACAACTCCCTCAACAAATATTTGCCCATGCCTGCAGTGTGGTAGGAGCTGTTAGGTGCTAATTCCGCAGTGACATGGACATCTATCATTGAGGTAATTTAAACAAATACGTGCTTCCAAAAGCGAGACGCGACCCTAAGCTCGATGCGGCGGTACTGTGGGAATGACAGACCTTCACTCTGCGGCCCGACGCTGTGCATGCTGAACCCGCGAACACTTGTCGGTCCCCCGAGGTAAAACCTGGAACAGAACGAATGGCAGATGTCAGAGGAAAGCCATCGGGGGAAGTCTAGGTGATACAACCGAAGCGCAGAACGTGCACAGGTCAGGCTCCCACCCGGTACTGGGCGGGTCTCCATGATGCCTTCCCACAGAGTCACATTTCAGGAATGGCAAGGCGCACAGGAGCACGGGCAATGCACAAAGATCCCACCTCACTCTTTTTAATAATTCCATAGTCTTCTTTGTAAGGGCCCTGTTTGAATTCAGTAATTTCCCTACTAGCTGTTTTAGGATTTTTGCTATTATCCACGATGCTACCCACAATGGACATCCTGCTACATAAATCTTTGTACACTTATGTTTTTGTAAATTAGATTTATGTAAATTAAATTTAGGTGAAATTGTTAGGTCCTAGAGTTTAGAAATTAAGGAATTTGGTACTTCCAAACAGTCACCCCAAAAGGCTCAACTATTTAAGCTAAAACAACATTTTAACTAACGCTAGGCTTAAGAAAGAGTTTCTTGCCCTCAAGAACAATTGTCAGTATTTCAAAGCAACAGGGACAACCCCACACCCTGCTGGCCGGAATATAAACTGCTCCCGGCTTTCTGAAAA